GGAACTGTTTAAAGTATATGTATTTCAATGGAGCCCGGCAGTAAGGTTTCCGCAGGTCTCAAGCTTGATTTTCCTTGTATGGGCGCGTGTGACGTGCCAGGTCTTGCAGATGAAGAGAGCATTGAATCAATGTATGATCTATACAACTCTATGTCTCATACTGCCAAACAAGAAAATAATAAATAAAAAAGGATCACAGGTAAACCCCCCATATATATTCTGCATTCGCGCGCAGTGCAGATTGAACACCGACCGCCACAAACAGCACGTGATGTCCTAAAAGCGTAGTATCAAAAGCGTCCCTTGTAGCGACAGCCAAAAAGCCTGCATCCTATCTCCATAACGAAGGACAGGTAAAAGGAAAAAAAAATAGGTAGCTTCTCTTTGATTGAGCGTGTCATCCTTAGTGCAGGGGCCATGCTAATCTTCTCTGTATATTTTCATTTGACCATATGCCCCGAAGGGCGAAAAGATGTCCTTAAAGTTCAATATAACCCGCGTTTGGTGGCAGAATTGTACCGCTTACCGGTTTGGTAAGGCACGTGGGCGGTCATATACATTGTTATACATGCCTTTGCTGTCGGCAGGTTGTTTGGACGTTGTTTGTTGTTTGCTGTTTGCTGTTCATTGCTATGCCGAGAGAAGACCAGAGGAATACCAGCACCAAGATGACGATCGAGCGTATTGTCGGCATGACATCGATCCGGGAACTCTGTGCGAAACAAGTCTTCGAATTTCTTGATGACGTGTTTGATCTCGGCATCTTGTATTGGAAAGACACTAGTCTCTCTCGGCATAGTAATTGAGCAGTGATTCACTTCAGATGAAAGAGAGTGCCCAGGGAATCAGATGAAAAGGATATCATCTTGTAGCGGGGCAGTTTTGTGTGGGATTACTCAGCACTGCGCTATGCCTGTAGGTGCGGGGTCATCCAATGTCGAACTTAGGGCTTGGGAAGTATAGAAGTCACAATATCTAACACGGTCCCTGTTCAGGTCAAGTCCTTGAGGATTGGAGAGATCAAGATGATCACAACACTACGACTGAACTTCTAGTTACCAAGAATTAAGATATACTTCACTGCTTTACAGCCTAGCCCAAGAACAAGATTAATCATATAATTGCTTCGCTTCGCTCCGCAATAAATATCGGAATCTTCTAGTATTATTCACATATATATCTTCTTTTTCTCTTCTTGAAAAGCATTACCGCATAGTCACAAGCTCCTCGGCGCTAGTAGGGTGGATAGCAACACAGCTATCGAAGTCCTGCTTAGTAGCACCCATCTTGATAGCAACACCGAAGCCCTGCAGCATCTCACCGACGCCAAGACCAAGGATGTGCAGACCGACAACCTTTTCCTGGGGACCGGCGCAGATGATCTTCATCTCGGTGGGGTTCTTGGCCTTCTCCTCTGGGGACAAGCCGACATCGTAGAACATGGCAGTGAACTTGGTGTGGTAAACCTTGATCTTGTCGTCGCCGTAGCGAATGCGGGCCTCGGGCTCGGTGAGACCGACGCAGCCGACCTCGGGGTGCGAGAAAACGACCGTAGGAATGTTCTCGTAGGAGATCTTGGAGTGCTTCAGCTCGACAGGGCCGAAGAGACGGCTGCCGAGTTGGCGACCGGCAGCAATGGCAACTACAGAACACAGTCAGTGTATTTATTCAGACGAAAAGTGGGGATAACGACTTACCAGGGGTCAACTCAGCTTGACCGGTCACGTCACCGAGAGCGTAGATACCCTCAACGGAAGTGTTCTGGTACTCGTCAACCAAGACATGATTGCCAAGATTCAGCTTAACACCAGGGATATCCAAGTTCAGGTCTTCGATCTCGGGGGCACGGCCCACAGCCCAGAGGAGCTCGTTGACCTCGATCTCAGAGCCATCGTGGCTAATGAGCTTGAGCAGGCGATCCTTGCCCTTGCCATCGCGAATGAGTTGCACCTCCTTGAAACCACCGTGGCTGCGGTGAAGCTTGACGCCGGCGGCCTCGTAGCGATCAGTCATAGTCTTCTGGATCATAGGGTCAAACTTGCGCAAGAAGGTCTCGCCGCGGATGAACATGTGGGTCTCAACATCAACAGCGTTCAGGACACCAGCAAGCTCAACGGCGATGTAGCCAGCACCGACAACGGCGATCTTAGGGGGAAGCTCTTCCAACTCGAAGAATCCGTCGCTTGTGATACCGTGCTCGGCGCCGGGCACGGCGGGGACGCTAGGCCGGCCACCGGTAGCCAACAAGATGTGGGGTGCGGTGTAACGGGCAGTACCGGAGCCGTCGGCCAGCTTGACCTCGATAGTGTGAGGCTCGACGAAACCAGCTCGGCCTTGGACCAGGTCGATTCCTTCGCGACCCCAGTTGCCCTCGTAGGCGCCGTTCAACCGTTTGATGACGGCATCGCGGGTGTTCTTAAAGTGGGTGTAGTTCATAGAAACATTATCGGGGATGTCGTAGCCATAGTTCTTTGCGATGTGCAACGTCTCATTGATGGTCGCAAAGTTCCATGTCATCTTCTTAGGGACACATCTGAATGTAGTCAGAAAAAACCGTCAATCGAGTATATAACGGCATTACACCTTGTACTCACCCCACGTTGACACAGGTACCGCCAGACCGTCCGCTTTCCACGATGAGGGTCTTCTTGCCATACCAACCAGCTGCGCGGCGGGCGCTTCCACTGCCACCACTACCACCGCCGAGGACGATGTAGTCATACTGATGTGTTTCGACGGGAGCCATATTGGATGGTTGTTGGTTCTTAGGGGCGGATGACGAAGAAAAGTGTCGAGAGATTGTAGAGAGACGAGAGTTCGTAGCAATTGGGTTCGCAGGAGTGAAGCGAGGAGAGTTGATGGTCGCCAGAGTTCGATTGGTCAAACGACCAGAACGGATTTGCCCGACAGAAGATCGGGTCAGAGATGAAGAGGCTCGAAAGCTAATTCGGGAGGATTGGATGGAGCGGGAGAGCATGGAGAGAGGGAAGGAGGGGAAGAGGGAACAATTATATACAGGCTTAGGTGAGAGGGGTCGGAAAAGACGTGGTGACGATATCGGGGTTCGTTAATGCGCATTGGTTCTTCCGTCACCGCGGTCGATTTCTCAGCATTGATTACGTGATCAGATCTAGATCCGGGACCTTGGGATATAAAGTTGATACTCTTGGGATCTACACTTTGTTTACACGGTTAATATGTAATATTATTGAATTTGTGGATTGTAGGTATGGGTATAGGAAATTCAGCAAAGAGCGACAGGGAGTGACCAGCACTCCACAATTAAAGTCGATGCAGCACACAAGGAAATAATATCGATCAGACAATTTATAACTCAGAGCCAGGGTTGAAGCACTGGAGTAAGTCAAGACTTGATTGAAACCAATAAAGGCCAATGAATGTTGAAAGATTTTTCAGATAGAAAAGGGCCCCAGCCCTATCAATCCGAAGAGAGTAACAGTAACAGGGAAGAGGGTATCAAAACGCGATGAATGTAAAAAAAAGCCATCGAGCCCATGCTTATATCTAGACTCCATGTCACAACATGCTAGAGTGACATGGCCAGTCTCTGGGGCGAGGGATAGACGGTAGTTGGGGCGTGGCAGGTGGAAGGGTGTTTTCGAATATTTGCGTGGACAGAGATCGAGAAGGTATCTTCTGATAACTTGCAGATCACGCAATCCACAAAATGTCATGACATGCTACCCTGCTGGTCACATTTTGCATGCGACAGAGGGGCAGTCTTCAGTGTTGCAGGCAGTGTGAGGATCGGAGGAGTTTGCCTCGTATGTTGTATTGCGAGACGAGGAAACAAAGTAAGAGTGTTTCGGTAGGAGGAGAGGCATCCCTGACTCAAAATCCAGGACCACGGGGATCCTTTCATCTTCGTCTGGGCGCTGTTGAAGCAGAACGCTATCGCAAGAGGACGGCTAGTGGGTATAGGCGATAACGGCAAAAGAGATGAGGCAGAAGCAGAGAGGTATGTAGACAGAGCGTTCCATATCGGCTGGAGTTGAGGGGTTGCGCTTCATGGTTTTCAGTATATAATAGCACAGTGATGTGGTAGTGAATTTGGAGATCTGAAAAGGAGGGGGTCCGGGAGTATGAAGAGTCCGGGGAGGGGGTGGTGTTAGTTATCTTCTTATCTGCTTATGTAACCGCGTTGGGCCCTCAACAAAACGTCACCTGACTCAACATTGGATGACATTTGGCCGGTCAACAAATAGAAAGGGGGTGTCCTGATGCCCACAGTCCACTATTGATCTGCTGGACACGCAACCATATTTGATGATGAAGCCCCGTGGGCTGTTACTACTTAGTTGGCTGACAAGTGAGAACAGCCAAGTATTCCACGTGGTACTAAGCCTCGGCAGGTCCTCGATTATAAAGTGGACTGGAAAGTTCCAAGTCTGCCCTTTCCAAGGTTGTGCGATAATGCATCTGAATCGTCTATATATAGACGGTTTTCGGTCTCCTGAGCATTATATAAAACAACCTCCTCTCGTTTTAGTGTGTCCTCATACTCCGTACACCCCTTGACGGTACCCATTTGCCAAGGGTCGGTCGCATGAGCTCATAAAGGGCACCTAGCCAACCTCAACAGCAACGATCTACATTACTACTTTGCCCCTAGCCATACTTTCACACTTACCAAAGAGCAGCCCCTGTCCAGCGTAATCCATAACACTCCGAAACCTCCACATTCACGGAGAATGAAGAATGCAAGGGGATACTAAACCACACCTCTTATCCACCAATGAAAGCAGCCATGAGCGGCCTTCATACCTGGCCAAACAAAACACAAACCAAGAGCGCGCCTTGCCGGCCAATGGAGCAAGGCATCTGGCCGCTCGAGTTCTCCTTCGTAGTCCTGATTAATTAGACAGAATTTTGCCCTAGAATAGTCCGGGTATACATGAGCCGATCTTCCCAAACACGTTCTCATCACCTCAATATCACGCCCACGATCTTCTACCAGCTACCATATCATCACCGCCATAATGCGTGTTTCAGCCCTCGCCTTCGCTGCCATTCTGTCCCTGGTCTCGGCCAAACAGATCAATATGCACTGTAACTTCGCCGAGGACCACACCGGCATGGTTCAGCAGCCCTACTGCTGCCGTGATTTGGTACCTGCACGGGGAAACTCGAAGGCAAATGAGGCATTGGACTGTATGTATAACAATCTCGGGATATTTAGTCACTGGGTTTGTCTAACGGTCTACTTTTCTAGGTGATCAACTGGACCAACCTCAACTGTGTGAAGATCAGTCTCGGCCGGCTTGCTGTTATACTATTGTGAGTTTTGTTCCAGTCAAGTTGGCTTTCGGATTTTGCTAATCTGGTTTCTTCTACTTTTCTCAGGGCCCGAAGAAGATCTGTACCGGCCATGTTATCTTCCAGGATGCAGAGGATGTTTAGAGTGAGAAGGGTACGAAGGCACTGCTGAATACAATCGCGTTATGACTTGGCATTTGACGTTTTGACGTCAATAATTTCTAGTGAATAGACATCGAGCATATATCACAATTCGCTTCTGGTGCTTGGATGAAATGACGGTGTACAATAATGTGGCAGTCTGGTATGATGTTTGAGAAGACTTTGCCTAAAAGACTGGACCTAGGAGACAACAGCATAGGTAAAACGGTCAAGCCGCATAATTAATTGCATGAATCAAGTAATGCTAGAAGAACAGGCGCCAAACTCCACATCCCCCACGCCTAAGGTGCTATACATAGTCAACCTTTCATATATGCAGCCACATCAATCGGAAACTACCCCAAGCATCTCCTCGGTGTTCCTGCGAAACAGACGCTCCGCTAACCCCGGCTTGGTCGCACATAACTGCAAGCAACATTCGGTGAATGGACCGATATCGACACGAGAAAATCGAGTGTGTGGCCAATCAGTGGCATAGATGACCCGATTAGGTGCAACAGATAAGAACTCGCGTGCCATAGCATGAAGGTCACGCATTTGATGGTCTTTGCTGAGTCGATACGGTGCAGACACCTTAACATACGTGTTCCCAGCGCGAAGCAGAGAGATCAAGGACGAGAACCCTTGAAGGTTATAGGGATTGAAAGCCGGACCATCATCGTCCCTGGACGCGAGCTCGGGGCTGCCAAAATGGTCGATGCAGATGCGCACGCCTAGTCGTGGAATGATCGCCTCAACCATCGAGATCATCTTGAGAGGAAGATATATCTCGATAATCCAGTCGTGGAGCCGGGCAAGCTTAGCATGCTGGAGTAAGGTCTCTTCCAGCTCGGTCTTATCCATCACTTTCCCTACAGACTGAAGGTTGATTCTCAGTCCACGGACTCCAAGAGTATGCCATTCGTTTAAAGTCTCCAGTTTAACGGTGGCAGGGTCAACCACGACAACTCCTCGGCCGCGCGAGGGCCCAAGTCTTCGCAATGCATCTAATAAACATGAATTGTCCGTGCCATAAACTGACGGTTGCACAAAGACGAGATTCTCAACACCTAGTCCGGACTCGAAGGCAAGAGCTTCGGGTAACGTATGCGCGGTGGGTTTATATACCGCCGTTGAAGAAATAGGAAAACGCTCAGGTTCCACAACATGCATATGACTATCCCAGGACTTTGGAGGCAGTCTCTGCTTCAGCGATATACTTGCGGACGAGACATGTGTTGAACGCCGTTGCTCTAACCGGGTGGAAAGGACATCAATCAATATCGATGGAGGCCCATGGAGTATATTGGGTTTGGCCTGAGCAGTGGTCAGCATCCTGAATAGATCCCAAGCAAATAGAGAGGGCAGATTATAGAAAAAAGTCCAAAATGAAGCCCTGGGGAAATACTCACAGAAGAGCAACTCCAGCAAGGCGATATCACCCTAAGAAAAGACCTAGGAAGAACCATGCTAGTTTCACCGCTCAACGTTTGTGGACGTTGATCTAAGTGCCTGCACTGTAGGGGTGCTGAAATAAAAAGCACCCATCGGATAATATGTATGGATTACGACGTGTAGGCCTCGTACGACCCACCCCCCCTAGCACCCACGCTTGTGGCCAGTTGCAGGGGAAAATCGAGCTCGGAAGTTGTCCGTCAAGGAGACGCTTTCAATCCGTAAGCAGCCATCTGGGCCTGTTAAATGAGCTGAGCCGTCAAGCGGAGCCAAGAAAGTGGATAGGGTGCGGCATGATCCGACATTGAAAAATGGGGTCACTTGGAAGTAATTGTAATGCGAAAAAGCAATACTCACGGAGTAGAGCAACATGTAGTTAGACAATATGCAGAATATCAATTATCAGGCAATTAGTGTCCTAATCCTTGTAAAAGAGGGGTAAAGGACAAAGTACGGGCGTTGGCCGAAGTTCTATTTAGCTCGGATTCCGAGCTCCCGGTCTTCCTCTCATGTCCACTCCCAGATAACACTTCATTTGCTCCCCGGATTTATCGAATACGCCCCCACAGCTCGCTTATACAATTTAAGGGCAATGCGATGGACGTTAAAATGGTCGACCAATCCCTATTACGCCCTGGTGATTGCTGTCATTGCCTGCGGCGGGATCCCGAAAGGTATGAGCACCCTTCCCTGCCCCCACCAGTAGACTGGCTTATCGGACAATGATTTGCGATAATATACTGGTAGACATTTGCTGATCGCGCATTATCCCCGACAGGCTATGACGAAGGTGGTTATAGCGCCAGTGTCTCCCTCCCCTCCTTCAAGTCCGACTACGACCTCACTAAACACCCGGGGTTCGATGATACCGAGCTAGCAAACCGAAAAGCGAACATCTCCTCCTTCAACGTGCTAGGTGCAGCACTTGGTGCGCTGTTAGTCCTCGATCTCAATGATCGACTTGGGCGCTTGGTGGCGTGGCGCTTAGCATGCGTCGTGTGGGCAACGGGAACATTGATCCAGGTATTCGCATCCGGTATATATGGACTGCTCTTGTTTAGTCGCATATGGGGCGGATTGGGCGCGGGCGCTCTAACGGTAACTGCACCACTATATTTAACCGAAATAGCCCCTGCTAAGACGAGAGGTCTGGTGGTGGGGTTATACATGGTATTCCTACTGGCCTTTCTGGCTATGGGTAAGCTTTGACCCTCTATACATCCTACATTGTATGCATATCCGGCTCCCAATCTGATTCGCTTCGCTTTATTGCAGGGTTCTTTATCAACTATGGTGCCAGGGCCCATATGGCCACCACGCGAACTCAATACCGCCTAGTTCAGGCTGTGCCTTTAATCCCTGTCGGTATCGCATATGGTCTGTCGTACCTTTGCCCTGAGACTCCTCGGTATCTTGTCTCAAAACAGCTTCATCAGAAAGGGCTGGAGGTTCTGGCACGGCTACGGGGTAGGGATATCGATGATCCCGAAATCACAAAGGAGTTCGCAACTATCGATGCACGGGAGCGAGAGCGACAGACAGACTTAGCATATGTCTCCCATTGGGCTATCTTCAAAGAGACACAGATGAATCCGAATTACAGACAGCGCTTCTGGCTGCTAATGACCATGCAAACTATTGCTCAGTGGACCGGCGGGAACGGCATCACATACTACGTAACGAGCATATTCCAGGTACGTCAATTTCAACAAGCAATCATCAGCTACGCCAGGCAACAAACCGCTAATATATACGAAACAGTACGCCGGCCTAGCAGGCGACTCAACGTCCCTTGTCTCCTCCGGCGCATACGGGATAGTCAAACTAATCTTCACAATGGCCTTCACATGGGGTCTAATCGACCTCCTCGGTCGACGCCGCTGCACTCTCGCCGGACTAAGCCTGCAGCTGTGCGCGCACATCTACATGGGTATATACATGGGCCTGCGCCCAGGCTCGGAAGACAACAAAGCCGCCTCCAACGCAGCCGTCGCCTCGGTCTTCGTCTACGCCGTCGGCTGGTCTATCGGCCTATGCACGGTGCCTTACCTGTACGGTACGGAGATCTTCCCAACGCGCATCCGCAACGTCAGTTACGCGATTAGCATGGCGCTGCACTGGTTCTTCCAGTTTGCCGTTGTGCGAGTTACTCCGAATATGTTCGTCTCGCTGCACGTCTGGGGTGCTTATCTCTTCTGGGCGCTTATTTGCTTTTCTGGGCTCATCATTCTTGGTGTTTGGATGCCTGAGACGAAGGGTGTGCCGATTGAGCGGATGGGGGATTTGTTTGATGGGCCGTGGTATCTGCGCTGGCGGGCTAGGCCGAGGGAGTGGGATCTTGCTTCGCCGACTGATACGCTGGAGAATGTTTCACCGAAGGACGGTTGTGTCGTTAAGTCTGCTGATTCGGCCTTGTGAGGGTCTTTTTCGTTATTTCCCTGGCATCCCATTGACATACATATGCTCTGTTTTACATATCAAGAAAAAGTTGCAAGACTTATAATGCAGTGCAATATTGCCTACACCGATTTACACTTAGGAATACATTCAATTATCGTCATTGACTGCTGACGTGATATATCTATCTCGGATTGATCTTTTGGCAGGGTACTATATTGTGTATGTATTTGGGAATCACGAGAAGAAAAGTCGAGTAATGCTATACAAGATCATAGAAGGTCAACCCCAGCCCTGATCAAAGGCAGGTGTCATATTCGTCGTGATCGGCTGCGCATACGAGAATGCCTCATATACCTCAGGCGTGATTTCGTAGGATCCGGGGTCATTCATCGTCATTCCGGCATTTGGTATCCCGCCCAGCAAGTGCATAGGCGGCAGCTGGGGCATTTCGCCCATGTTCGGGATGTCGAAACCTGATCCTGGGTGCTGGAAGGTATTGTAGGTTCCCATCACGGGCGGGTTTTCAGGGTCGGTGGTTTGGACTTGCGCGGCTATCGATGCTTGCGACTGGTGGTGACGATGACCCGGAGAGACATGGCGGGATTGGTTGCTGCCTGCTGAGGGGGATTGACTGTGCTGAGGGTGGTGGGGATGTTGATGTGGGGATTGGTGATGTTGGGGGTGTTCCTGTTTGGTCTCAGGAATGGGAGTGGGGATTAGTCCGTGGATGTTGATTTGGAGTTTTTGGAGCTCCAGGGAGATGAGGCTGAGCGCTGTTGTGATAACGGGGTTGGCGACTTTGACTCTCTCAAGGGCGAAAATGCAGAACTTGAGTTTGTCTAGGGTTCCCGGTGCGGCGTACTTCAGGGCTTGGATCTCGAGCAGGAAAATCGATGCGGCTGTGTAGATGCTGTATGCGAGAGAGAGAACGACGTGGCTGTCGCCGAATGTGCGGCGGTATAGATCGAAGAGAGATAGGATTGATGTTGCTGATGCCATGCACTGTACAAGATGGTTCGAGTCGTACGCCTCGGGGCGGGCTTTAACCAGCTCCCGAGAGCAGAGGATTGGGCGGTGGAGAAGGATGTTAATAGTATGATATAGACAGCTAGAAGGGCTGAGTTAGCACTGTATTCCAATCCACGCAG